ACGTGTAACCAGTCAGTCTCGCCCCTACTTCTACGGTAGGCAGTTTTGAGTGGTGAGCGACCGGTACCACCACGCCTTGTTTTGGTCAGCTATCTTCAAAGACCCTTCCGGTCACGTCGCCCAATGGAGCCTGAAATTTCAAAAATATGACACTACCATCGTTTACTAGTGTGGCAGAGAACAGTCTGACGCCGAATGCAACTCTCGTGCCCCTGTCGATCTACCACTGCCTCGCGACCCGGATGACGAGGTCTTCTAGAAAACAATAACTGCCGATGACTTCACTGAATGACAGTGAGCCGACCCGCAACTGGAGGACCTACTGAAATACCTTAAGGGCAGGACCAGTGTTGTTCCAATGGCATTCAAGTGGGCACTTGCGTCGTTTTTGCGGCGAAACGACCTTCTCCAAAAGAAGAACTTCTCACCACTTCGAGCTCAGTACCTTCTTGTGATGCATTCAGCTCTGCGACCAGAACTCTTCAGGCTCTGCTCGACGATCCGTCGGCAGGACACATTGGGGCTTCCCGCACGTTCACTACCTTACAAGAAAGATACTATATATATGCTGGCCACACCTCACAGCCAGCGTCACTCGTTGCGAGAGGACATGGCTGTCAGCGATGGAAGAAACTACCCGCAAAACCAGCGGGCTTCCTCCAGCCAATGGACCCTCCCCGGCGACCATTTCAACAGATCGGAATGGACCTCCAGGTGCTGTTTCCAACGTCGACTTGCGAAATGTAATGTATCATATTATCTCCTGACGACCTCACCCGCTACACCAGAGCAACAGCCCTGCCCGAAAGCAGTGCCACTGAGGTAGCAAGTTCCTCATTGAAGGCGTCGTGGTTCGATATGGAGCCCCAGAGGTTCTCACCAACAATAGAGGTACAGCGTTTGCTGCTTACCTGGTTCAGGTAATCCAGAGATACAGCCAGACAAGCCACCACCGTACAACCGCGTACAATCCACAAACCAACGGCCTGACCGAGTGTCTAATTAAGTTAATAGTCGACATCCTGGCTATGTACGTTGCCACCTAACACAAGACGTGAGATGTCATTCTTTCATACGTGACCTTCACATACAACATGATCGTGCAGAGACGACGCAGTTTACGCTATAAAAGGTGGTCTACGGAAGGAATCCGGCCACCACGCTCAACGTCATGCTTCCAAACGTCACTGACAAAGTAAAGCTTGAGCTTACCAGCTACCTTCCGAGTGTTGAAGAAGCTTGTCAACTCGCCCACCTGTGCATCAAAAATCAGCAGATGATGGACAGTCACCGCTAGAATTTTCGACGAAGCTCCGTAAAATACATGTCCCATGAGCGTGTTTGGGTAATGACGCCGATACGCCGACGGGGACTCAGTGAAAAACACTTCTGCGACGGTACTTGGGACCGTACAGATTAATTTGACGTCTAGGCCCACTCCAGTATGAGGTTCTCCCTAATTGCATAATGAACTTTGAGCAGCGCCGTGCATTACCTGTAGTCGTCAATGTCGTGCGCTTCAAGCCTTATTATGAGAGTTATTGAGCGCGAGAATATACTGTATATTTAATTTACTATTGCTTTTGCTTGCTTTTGGTTATTGTTTATTGTACTCTCACTTTTCTAAAAGCATTGGGATAATACATTTATCAGAGGTGGCAATGACCCATTCCTTCCTCAAGTTTTCTTATGGCGCCATTACACTGTGAGCAATTCTCAACGCAAACCGGGCCTGCATTGTTCGAGCACCCTCAGGACTGTAGTAGATACTTTTGTTAAGATTACGCGCACAACGTGGATATTATAGATTATTCTGAAGCCTACGTGGCCACTAATGATAGCGCTGGAATGTAAGACGGCGCATGCATAAACGCTGACGCGCTTCGCTACGTCGCGTTGGATCGATGGTGGACGCTCTGCTTGCCGCCATTGGTGCCATTGTGTATCGCTGTTCTTTGGCCTTCCCTTTACCGGTCAAAAGTTCCTTCAAATAACTAGTTTTATCTAGCACCAGCAGTCTGCTCCCTTTCTCAACGCCAGGACTCCATGGCAATAATCACACAATAAAATAAATGGAGCTATTCGGGTGGCGTCCTTGGCTGCGATGCTGGCACAGCAGAGTTCTCGCTGTGCACTACATGCATGGCGTACAGCTGTGTACACCTACAGAACACACTTATAAGCATCGTTTGCATCACACGCCTCATTCAAGCAATCCAGTTCAAAGCCATCACCGCTTTTGGTTAAGGTCTGTTTAAATTATCTGTGTGGTGCCCTGACAACACGTTGCGTCTGATTTGCCAGAGCTGACGGTGTTCGGCTCGGCAAGGCATAGCGAGTATTCGTTGCATAAAGTTTCGCTTTCGCTGATGAGCCCATTTGCTATGCAGAAATCTTTCTATGATGTTATACTGCTTTACTCAAAGCTCTGCTATACTACCATGTGTTATGTTATACACACTCAACTCGCGAACACTTTGAACTATACGCTGAAAGATCGTGGTATTTGTCACTAAGCGGAGAACTTCATTGATCATTGCGTTTGCTATCATTTCGATGTCAAATATTCGTGTTTTTTTACTCTAGGCTGTTCTTTTAGCTTACCAACCTCACATCACGAGAACCTAATCACCGTGATTCATCCAAATACGGCTGCTAAAGCTCGTTGATGCAGCTTGCCGATGCAGCTGGAGATACCGCGTACCGTCATGCTGTGCAGTAGCGGTGGCGTAGTGCAGCTCTTGGTGAGATCGGTGTATTCAGCATAAATGAAATTCCTCTAGCCCAGCAGAGTTTTCCAAAAGGGAACGGGCATCCAATTTTAGTTCAAAAGAGCGTATAGTATGCCCGCCTCCATGTGTAGGGAAGAGATGGCGTTACTTATTGTTATAAAGGGCTTTTCACAAGGCCAGGCTAGAAGCTACTTGGCAGAAATTCCCAGACCGCACTGTTATAGGAATACATAACTTATCACTCTAAAAACTGTGGAGGCTATCGCAGTAGTAAAAAGGCCAAGTTTCTTTGCAGGGTGTTCTGCTCTCGCAAAGCATCAGATAGAGTGAAATTCTATTTCACTCAGTATGAAATCAGAGAGTGAAACAGCTTTCTACTCTTCTTCTTTTTGAGAGAGTGAAATGCCCATATACTCTTCAGGCACGAGAGAGTAAAACGTGGTTATACTCTTGCTCTTGATTACTTTTTGATGCGTCTGCACACCGCGAGTGATTAGCACTACCTTAACCACACATATATACAGCAAAACGTACTACAATACTTTGTTGAGACGTTAGATAAGATTAACAAAAGTAACAGCGTTTCTAGCGCCCCAGTGAATTTCACTGAACTGGAAGGCACTCGGAACTCTTAATATTCACGTTTTTAGTCTTTTATTTGTGTAGGAGAATAAGCGAATACTACCTCGTTCAATCGGTTACGATTGAAACTCAACGCAAACGTCCGTGACATTCTCCCTATAATAATATTCATGTTTTTCGCTACGACCATCGCACACGGGCGATGGTGCCGTAAGCCTAACGTACCGTACAGCTACAGTGAAGTATGCTGGCTTTAGTTATAGAACATGAACAAGAATGACCAAAAATATGTCCAAGGGCATGAGAACAAAAACTAAATTGTTTAGTGTACACTTTGCATATGCGATTTTGTAGGGAGAAATGACTAACCACTTAGCGAGTCAGTGCAAATGACGTTGATAAAATCGGTTGCGCTAATCTTCTTTGTTTACTGTAAAAACGTGTCGGATAGACGTTCTCATCACAGAAAGCATAACAGAAATACAGTAAACACGTTAGCTACATTCCGGCTGGTTTTTAGAAGTGCGGAGACACTCACAATTACGCCTCTAAACAAGAAAATGCACAGAATATCATAATTACTTATAAAATGAAAAATGAAAAGAAACCCCCGTTGCTCGTCTTTTCGTGTAGTGGTTAGAGTGTCGGGCTCAAAATCAGCAGTGTATCTAAAGGCCGACGATTTGAGCCCTACTCGGTTGTGTTTTTTTGTTCTTTCATATTTTCTTTTTCGCTGTCGTAGTGCTCGTATTTAGCCATTATTTCAATCTGCGCATGAGGAAATATATCTAGCACAATTAAAAATCTTGATGTCGGCCCACGTTCAACTATTTTTTTTCGTGAGGTGCACTGCTACTCTCTTCGATAGGGTCGTGCTACTCTACTTCGGGCAGCGTTGTGTTGCTCTGTTGAGGGGGGAGGGGGAATGCTTTGACCCGTTATAGGGAAATCACTGAACTCTACCTCAACAAGAGGTGACCTACTCTGGAAAAGAGAGTGAATGTAGGACAAGAAAGTACTCTTCCTAAGTGAGTGGCCAGCACACTCTTAGTTTTGAGAGTGCTCGGCTGGGGAACATTTGAAGACCGCTGTTTATAGTGGTGTGCCACCCCATCAACGAAAGATATCCAAGCCATGTTCCTTATATATTTACGTGTATGTGTTTGGTCAAAGTTGAGTGCGAAAGTTATTGGAAACTTAGCCCCGTGTACATGTAGTGACTACTTTTGATGTTTTCGAGAACATGGGGTACTGGATATGAGTGTACAACAATGTGCCTTCAGTCATATTTCTTGCTCGTAAGGTGCTCATGTCAAAAACATAGGCGTCCAATTCGTGAATATATATATATATATATATATATATAATATATTATATATATATATTATATATATATATATATATATATATATATATATATATATATATATATATATATATATATATATATATATATATATATACTTCATTTGTGGCTCATCAGCGTTGTCCGGCTGTAGATAACCTGGTATTTAGGCTTCAGGTTGATAAGCACTGCAGTGTACTCGATCACTTGGTCATGTGTTACATACACGTTACAACACATATTCATGAAAACACGCATGGGTGTCGGCATACAAACTGAATTGAGACGACTCTGCATTAGTAATGTTCACCATGCAGCTGCATGGCTTCGCAAGGACTTACCCAGTTGAAGACGCCCATGTATCTCTTCGTCCTCATGGCGTTGCTTGAGAGGAAGTAGAAAGGAAAGTGCGTGAGGTACACGCCAAAGGATAGCCTGCTCAACACGGCCAAAGGAGATGCCGACAGTATCTTCTGAACTACACCTGCAACACGTGATGAATTCAAAGCGACATATTACTTACGTATATTCCTATAATAGGTGCAGGATACACTAGCGAAAGTAAACGAGTACAATTTTGAGTGAAATGGCGCTCTCCGATGATTGCAATAAAGCCTGTTCGAAAAATTGACTATAGGTAACTTCTGAAAAGGCATCAATGCAGCGTCATTTCTATGATTACCTTCAAAAAACGTGTGCCAACATTGAGTGACTACAGTGAAACTTTATGGACACGAAAAATCGATTCTCTCAAGTACACGAATCCTCAGAAACTGAGCGGGTGCACTTAAGTACGCGCGTGCGTTACCACTACAGTTGTCCGCAGACAAATGCATAAACTGAAAATTTGGAGACTAATAAGTGAAACGACACCTCCCCTACTTTTCAATCCTAGTAAGATTCACCTGATGCGACCACTTACTAAGCTCTACTCTGGTCATTTACTACGCGATGGCGTTGGCTAGCTTTCACGCCTACTTTGCGTTATCGTAAGAGTACTCCCAAGGTGGTGCCTCACAACTTAAGTCAAAAGCAATTTTTTTCAGTTGTCTTTCTACTGCGTGACGGCGTCTTGCATCTCTCAGAATATGACGTTCACTGCCAGCCTGACTCTTCAAGAGACATGGCCTTTTCAAGTGGTGCTTCCCTGTTCGTTCTACTCTGCTGGCTGCCAAGGGGTTTGCATCTTTGTGACGCTTTGGAATACGCTGGCTTTAAAATGCTCATATGCCTCACGAACTGAGTTAGCCAGCACAGTGTCATTGCTTCGAGCGACCAAAAAGGCAGTACGAAGCAATAAACCTCGCACGCGACAGATATAGATGAGAAAAGGCGCGTCTACCACATTTGCTCAACAACTTGCTCAGATGTGCGTTTGACGCACACGGTCATATCCTTGAGGTCCCATGGCATCTCCTCAACAGCCTGAGAAGAGGCGGATCATCAGTTACTATTGAAGTGTCAGCTGTGTAGTGAGATTGAAAAACAGGAATGTGCAGGGTTAACTCAAGTAAACATAGTAAACTACTGAATAGCGCTTCCCTAAACTATATGATTGCACATCAGGGGAGCTTTTTTCTACTACTATTAAACGCTGAAAAACTATTAAAAAGCCCCAGGCCTCCGCGGAAAGCGCCGCACAGTCACAGCGAAAGCTAGAACTGTGGTTTTTCAGAGTCTCTTCTAAACACTCAGTGTGTTACTGCTGCCAGCACACTTGCTGGGTACCCACTATACGGCTATAATAATATTAATTTCTGGTTAGTAGACCACCATTCGCTAGGCTTTTTTGTCATTCTTCTGATAAGCGATGTATCTGCTAAACACTTGCGAGGAACTTCGTGCCAATTATTTATGCAGTGGCTGACGATGATGAGGAATTACGCCTAAAATGGGTATGCTGCACAGCAGATAGGTGATCAAAACAAGCTTTTGTTAAGGGTTCGAGCATTGGACGATCCACTCGTTACGCTATTCCCGTTGTGTGACGCGCCGTTGTTCTTTTTTTAAACGCCTTATTACTCATATTAACGTGATTTTTTTCTGATAATAAGCCTGCCTAAAGCAAGTTTGTGATCAAGCCCTAACCACCAGCGTAGCTCAGTAGTAGAATACTGAGCTTGAATTCAGCGGACCCGTGTTGGAGCTTTATGTCCTTGGTACTAGGTTTTTTTCCTTATTTGGCGATAGTGGTTATGGACCCCGGTGGCGGTGGCAGCAGTGGCGGCGGCGGCCAAATATGCCCACGCGTGACCATAGTTCTGATCTCATGCCTGCTGTCCCTCTTAACATTTCTGTTGCAAGTCCAGCTGTGTGTCCTCTCTTTACCTGTGTCATTGGCCATGCGTTAGGCTTGTGGAGATAGGTTTGCAAAACGTTTGCTCTACGAATCAATCGTGAAAGGACGTGACACTGTACACTGCCGTCCACACAAAGACGCTATGATCGGCTTCGTCGACCGACATGGAAAAGAGATAGCACTGTAGGCAGGTCGTCCACAAACACGGGTTCATTTACCCAAGATAGAGTGCAGTGTGACAATTGCAGGCTGCATGAAACTCCGCAAGACCGATCTAGTGTACGCTTGCAAGCAGCCGCTAAGGCTACCACCCAGAGGGCAGCAGATAAGTGGGCGAACGAGAAGCCGCCTGCTGGAGCAGCGCGTCTGGACCTCTAGTGCTGGCCCATGGCCGCTGGATGAAAAAGCGCATGGTACGTCCCGCCGCGTCGAGCGGCTTTCAGTGGGAGAGTGCGTGACAGCCGTAGTAGCAGTTGCGGCCGCTGCAGCGCGACAGCGCGCAGACAAGAGGGACGGGGAAACGAGTGGTGGCGGCTCTCTCGGCGCAGCAGCCGCAACAAATTAACTGGTCATTGTCACAACAGTGACACACTATGTTGTTTTAATCAGTGTTTCTTGAATCTCTTTTATTGCAGCGATGAAATATCGCGTATATAGAAAAGTACGTAGGTGCTATCTGGAACTAAATTTTTGTGTCCGTGCCAAGCACCTGACGTTTTTTTTCCTGAACCATCTTCTTGCTTTCAGGCTGACAGAAAAATCTGCAATGCATGTAAGTGAACTATATGGCACTGAATGCGTGATAAAATGGTTGTTCTATTTATGAATAAGTGTTAAACTACAGTATTTATTGTGTGACGTTTATTCAGCACCTTCGCGCTATTTCAGCCAAAATGATTGACAACTTTTTTTAGGACACTTGGCAATACACGTTCATAGTTTTTATATGGTGAAAACGTATAAAAGAAACATGATTTGAATATTTTCCATGTTATTCATGGAAAGTAATTCAGCTTCAAACGCTTGATAAAAGTGGGTTCTTCAAACATGGCAACGCTCTCCTCAAAACTTGATAGAAGAGGCTGCGAAAGTATACATCAGTAGAAGTGGCAATCAAATTTCGTGATAATTTATACTGAACAGAAAAGTCATATATATATATATATATAAATATATATATATATAAATATATATATATATATATATATATATATATATATATATATATATATATATATATATATATATATACTTGCGTGGAGTGGCGTATGTCAAGAAAAATGGCGCTCAAATTATTGGGTCTCAACTTCTAAAAAAATCATGGAATTGCAGGGATAAACTCAAGCTATATTGATGCATGAGATTCATTTTCCCAATATATATATATATATATATATTATATATATATATATATATATATTTATATATGGAATATGGCACAACAGGAGCGTTGTCAACAAGGATAAATACATTTATTTCCCAACAGTTTCGGGAGGGGTCCTTCCTTCATCAGGGGATGAGTTATACTGACATGAACTTCCAAACTTCGTTGCTGCCGCGTCCCTCTTGCCTTGAAAGATGTTTGCGAGAGTGAGAGGGAACTAAAAAAAGAAAGAAAAAAAACAAAAAACAAATAAGGGGGAGAAAAAAGACGAAAAAAAATGAAAGAAAAGAAAGAAAGTAAAAAAGAGGAAGAACCACTGTCAACACTGAGAACGAAACCAGTGTTGACAGTGGTTTTTCCTCTTTTTTACTTTCTTTCTTTTCTTTCTTTTTCTTTTTCTTTTTTTTCTCCCCCCTTTTTTGTTTTTTTCTTCCTTTTTTTAGTTCCCTCTCACTCTCGCAAACATCTTTCAAGGCGAGAGGGACGCAGCAGCAACGAAGTTTGGAAGTTCATGTCAGTATAACTCATCCCTTGATGAAGGGAGGACCCCTACCGAAACTGATGGGAAATAAATATATTTATCCTTGTTGACAACGCTCCCGTTGTGCCATATCCCATACCTTCACGAAGACTAACTGGCCCATAGAATAATTACTCCCACTATATATATATATATATATATATATATATATATATATATATATATATATATATATATATATATATATATATATATATATATTGTGATACGACGTCAGGTACGACGAAACGACCATTGTATTCTCCAACACAGGCGCGCAAGCCACAAGCAGCGCAGACCGCACATCTAAAGATAAAAGATAATGATGATTACAGCAGTTATTTGGGTATTCAGATGAAGGTGATGAAGTGAATAGTCAGAGCTCACAATTATATATATATATATATATATATATATATATTGTAAGATGGCGTCGAGTGTTTCGAGACTCTCCTTTTATTGACTCGAGTATGTGCCCCACAACCTAAACTTGACTGGTGATGATGAGTATTTACAGATAAAAAGATGGGACGCATAAATAATGCTCACACGTATTTTCCCCGCGCACTTGAGCGGCCGGCCCGGCTGATACTTAGGCGGGAAAGGTACGGCGCACAAAGGGTTTAAGACGTGAAACGTGGACAATCTCGGAGGCACGGTAACGACGGTCCGAGGAACCCTCGACGGGAGTGACAAGGTAATTGACCGGAGATGTTCTTTCACAAACAACGTAAGGTCATAGAAAGCGAGACTGAAACTTTTCACACAATGCGGGTGTGCGAACAGGCGTCCAAAGTAGTACTTCATCTGCAGGACGGAAGGTGACTTCTCGACGAAAGCTGTCATAGCGTTGCTTGCGGTCTTCTTGACTGGCCTCCGTTTTGAGTTGAGCACGTTGCCATGCCTCAGCAAGCCTTGAGACGAAATGTTCTGGCGTAGTCGTCGACGTTTTTTCATTACATTGAAGAAAGAGGCGTCAATGGTGAATGTCGGCGCACGACCATAGACGAGGAAGAAAGGTGAATACCCGGTGGTTCGTTGAACAGCGGTGTCGTGTGCAAATGTTACGAACGGCAAGATTTTGTCCCAATTATCGTGGTTTGGTCCGATGTACATGGATATCATGTCGATTAGAGTCCGCTGGAATCGCTCTGTCAGCCCATTTGTCTGCGGGTGGTTAGCGGATGTGGTCTTATGAAGTGTGCCACAAGTTTTTAGAATTTCGTCAAAAACTGTCGACATGAAGGCCTTGCCCCGGTCACTCAACAACGTGCGAGGTGC